AGCATTTAGAGCCATTTGGCATAAAATACTCATGAAAATCATCTGCTACAGCTTAGACCTGATCTGTAGTTTGTTCTTCCCAAGAAATGTCAAGGCTTCAAATTTCCAACTTTCCAGCACTTGGAACGCAGCTTTGAACACGACAAACATTACCGTACATAAAACATCTCACTGGTGAGCCTGAACAACAGTGACCCTCAGAGGTTATTACATCCCCGACGTGTTGTTAAAAAGTGAAGGAGGGGGTAACATAAGAAACATGACAGTGGAGTTTAAAATGGTTTTATTTGAAATAAAAGGTTCTAAAAACGAGCAAACAGACGGCGTGCATTATAAAGATAATGCCAAAAACAAACAGAACTCTTCAAAAGGTTAACATCACAAATTGTCAGCCATAAAAACACCTGGTAAAAACTTTTAATACAAGTTTTACCGAACCAAAGGTGTTGGAAACCGAAGTCACTAAAATTGTACCAAACCAAGTTAACCTTTAAAACGAACACACAGAAAGATCCCACTGGATCACTCAGAGTTTGAACTAAAAAGTAAAAACTCATCCAACCGAAAGGGGTTGAACCCAAAACGGGACCTGGAGGACAGCAGAACCCTGCACTGCTGCCTCAGACTGCTGAAGGCACAGCCTTTTTATCCAGATGTTGGTAATCAGCAAGATTTGGCTCAGCTGTGCTCCTCAGCAGCCTGGGAGAGAGAAGGAGGAGGGGCGGTGTCAGGCTGATCACCGGGGCTGGGTGATCCTGGCTCCTGGATATCACTGGCCAGGCTGGTAGCCGTGACAGAGGTGGTGGCAGGGGTGATGGTGCACGAGTTAGCTGGCCTCGACAGGGTATCGGGTACATCAAAAGGGCTTTGAATGAGGTCCTGCTGCCTTCATTCTTTCCCCTTTGGATTACCACGACCTGGATGACTGCAGCCTTCACCGGTATTAGGCACATTATAAACATTTGGTTCTCTGAACTTTTCTGTTTAAATAAGAAAAGTCAATTTTTAAAAACCTATTGATAAATGAGCTCTAATGCAGCACAGACTGTGTACTCGGTGTGAAAAGCGTCTGATGCTCTTTTATTCTTCCTATGATGCCACGACACACAAGCAGTGCTGTGTGAACCAAATCCGGCAATAAAGGAGAAGCAGAGACGTGTTGCATAAGTAGGTAAAAGTGGTGCTTTTTGTTTAAAAAGAAATCAGTGAAGAGAAAATAGCAGCCTGGAATACTAAAAGTAGCCTCTCCACCACAGATGGCACCCACGCTTTCCGCCAGTGGGTCAGTGGGTGAGGGAAGAGAGGAGGCATGAGGAGAGGCTGTGGCCGTGTGCCGCTATCCAGGGGAGAGTGTGGGCGAAGTGGGCAGCAGGAAAGAGAAAGACAAGGACTTCTAAGGCCAAGTGGGCTGATGTTTGCAGGGAACGGTGCTAAAAACAGACTTGATGACGTGCAGAGGTCAGCTGGCTGACTTGTCTCTAGCTATTTCAAACAAGTGATGAGGAAGAAGGAAAAACGCTGACATCACCAGTGGATGCTTGCATCACTTTTGCACCCACAAAGCAGAGAAATATGGTTCCTGAATGAATGATTGTTCCATATTAGGTAACAAACGGGTCAAAGTGGCTCAGAACCGGCTCTGGCAAGCTAATTTATCACATAACAGGATCTTAAGAGCAGACGACTCTTAAACAGCAATGAACGTTTTGAGAAGTAGTTCCCTTTTTCAAAATGATACTTTAATTAATTCTCTGTTGAGTAGTTTTCATTTAAAACCAGACAAATAAAAACGACTAGTCAGCGTGTTTCGATTATATGTTACAATGGCTTGTCGTACTTTGGGGACCTAAAACATATTTTCTATGTTCATAACTTAGGATTTCTTTTTGTTAAACATTTCCATCTGTTTATTTTACTCACATTAAATTCATGTCTTCATTTTCCTGAACTTAGTCCAGCTACGGTAACTTAAAATGGTTTTCAGGGTGGAAAAACTGGGAGGCAGTGGCCGCGCGTGTTTCCTCTGGCACAAGACAGCGTTTCACCACCTAAGTCTACGGTCTTCACATCATGTGGAAGATGCACTTTCACGTCAGAGGAATGAACACGCGCCCTCACACTCACAAGGATGACCACACTCAAGAGCAGGGGGAACCTGCTGCTCAGCTAGTGGCCAGCAGGGGGCAGGCTGGAGCTCTGACGCGGACCTGACTTTAGCTGTATTTTTGTTTTGTAAAAACATATTTCTTGTCAAATTAGAGCTCTATTAATGAACTTTTACTGATTATATTAATAGATTTCCTCACATCGTTCATATTTCTAGTGCAATAGTTAATGTAAAAACTTTCTTTTGCTGATTTTAACTTTGTGGTTTGATTTGACTGATTCCAACTCTCTCTATCTTTTTTGCAAGACATATTAAGAAATGTGTTTGATTATATTTGCAGGGGTGGGCAACTCGAGTCCTCGAGGGCCGGTCTCCTGCATCTTTTTGTTGTTTCCCAGTTCCAACACAGTTAATTCACCTGCTCAGCAGCTCATGCAGAAGCCTGTTAATCACCAGCTAATTGAAATCAGGTGTTTTTTTTCAACACACCTGATTTCAATCAGCAGGTGATTAACAGGCTTCTGCAGAGCTTGATGGGCTGCTGAACAGGTGAATTAACTGTGTTGGAACTGGGAAACAACAAAAAGATGCAAGAGACCGGCCCTCGAGGACTCGAGTTGCCCACCCCTGTTTTAGAGACTTTGTTAAGATAAAATGTATTTTCATAAAGAAAAGGGGGATAATATGGAAGCCCATTCCTGCCACTCAAATGAAAATTATTACATAATAAAGACTTAGCTGTCTGTCACATAAATGAGATCATGTATCCTAGTAATGAGAGACTAAGCGATAATTATGAAATAGCATGAGATAGTGTCTCATAATGATGTGATAGCTAAATCATATTAACAGGATAATATTTTTTATCTGAGTGGCAGGACTGGGTTTCCACAGAGATTGGTTGTGGGGACATAATGTGTGAAATAAAATTATTTTTATTCTTTTAGGTTTTGCCACAGCCGAAATGAAGGTTTAACCAAGCCCACGAAAACCTCTGAGTAAACTAATAGAAGCAGACTTGACTCAACTTAGAAAGTCACATAAAATTATTTATATTTGCTTATTTTAAAAAGTCTCCCTTGGCTTGTCAAATTTAGTCTGTCCCTATGCTTTTCTACAAGAACGTCACTGCTGCCATCATGTGACCAAAAGGAACTAATGCACATTTTTTAACACGTCATGCTGTGCTTGTTTTGTGTGGGTATTGTAATGTTTCATATTATTTATCTGTTGTGTCCTTGGCCGAGACACTTAACCCACCATGCCTGCTGGTGGTGGTGGAGCCTGTGCCTCTGTCTGTGAGCCTCACGACACCAGGGTGTGAATGTGAATGTGTAAACAGGTGACTGACTGACTGTGTTGTAAAGTGACTTGGGGGGTTCTAGGCCACTTACTATTTTTATTTTCTCCCACAGAGCTTTATATCAGCCAGAATATAATGAACAGTCACTCTGGTGTAGAGTGTAGCCGAATGGCTGCCTATTCAGCAACAAATTGGATTTGCATTGAGCTTGACCTGGCGCCGATCCACAAGTTGCTTGGAAAGTTTACCAGGTCAACGACCGGAGGAGTTAAGTGAGAAACACACACACACACACACACACACACACACACACACACACACACACACACACACACACACACACACACACACACACACACACACACACACACACACACACACACACACACACACAGAGAGTTGAGACCACATTTAAGTAAAAACAAGATTTTGCAGCTTTTGAGGAAGCTAGAGGAAAGGAAAAGCACAAAAACAATAATAAAACAACTCACTTGACATTTAAAAGAAAAGTGAAAATAGAATCATCTGCAAAAATGTTCGGTATTATGAGAAATATTAACACAGATAAGCAAAAGAGATTAAGCTTGCAGAAAAGAAATCATGTGGGGCAGCCATGCAGCATTTCCTCGTGTGCATCAACATCTCAGAGGTTGCAGAGAATGACATCATTGAAACTGGATGCCTCACTTACACCAATTATACCTGACATGCTCTCTCCCCTCACATCTCTGCCTCGCTCGCTGGAGGTCTAATTGTTTCTAACTGCCTCATTTAAACATCTTTTTGCACAATTTGTTAAACAATAATTTTTCAAACTAAAACTTAATCATGCTTTTGTGCAAAGCAAATAAAAAAGCAACAAATACAATGCATAACTATATTTTATAGTAATATGGTGAGACATAATGTAATGTCATTATAAATTAAGTATATACTTCTGCTTTATCATTTTTAACATGCTAGGTCCTGCCTCTGTCGGTGCACCCCAGGGCTAGCCTGGCAAACCAGACTAAATAAATATACTATTTAAATGCGTCGAGGCAAGAATTTGGTCTAGTTCACTAGGCTAACCCAGGACAGCTGTGGCTACATCTTAGCTCATCACCATCAGTGTGTGAATGTTTGTGTGAATGGATGAATGATACTCTGTAGTTTAAAGCGCTTTGGAGTCCTCGGACTCTGAAAGGCGCTGTACAAGTGTGGGTCATTTATCATTAGTTAGAAACACATTTTCATCTAAAATATTTACTGTTATTTGTAATTGTTTTATTAAACATAACTAAGCTTCAGATTTTATAGTTCTAGTGCAAAGAAAATGATTAAATGTAACATGCAGTTATTTAAATAAAAAGCATTGAAACTTTTTTGTGTTTTTAAGCCATCAGCTGTAGTGAATATTTATTTACTAATCACGTTTGTTTATTTATTTATATTTTGTGCCTACAAACAGATGTAAACAAACAAAGCAGCAGCAGTGTGGCTTTAACAACTCAGCCCTCCTTCCTGGAGAGCACTCGTGGCGTCACGGGTCATCTCAGCCAATCACGGAGCACTACGCTCCTCGCTGGAGGAGAGGCGAGCTGTGGGGTGTGTGTGTGTGCACGCGGCGCGCGCCTACCAGTCAGTCGGCTGTGTGTATGTGTGTGAGAGTGAGTGTGTGTGTGCGTGTGTGTCTGAATGTGAGTGAGTTTATGTTATTTTTTCATACATTGTAAATCTCAACACGCTCGAGGTAAACGGCGGCTGGTAGGAGGCAGCTTCCGGGGAGAAAATTCAAAACTGACTCAACTCTGATGAACTCGAACGTAACAAAGTTTGCTAGGAGCCGCTCGTGAAAACAAGCCGCATCTACGCAGTTTATTCGGTGCGCCAGCGGCTGTAGTTAGCGGCGGTTTTTAAGCTAGCTTAAGAACCGGCAACCGTCACCCGAAAGTCGGTTCTAAGATGCTAAAGACGCTGACGAAGAAGCTGAGAAGACACTCGCTCAATGAGATTCATCCTTTCCAGCTGAAGGTGAGACTGTCTTTACTGGAGTTGTCACTGCAGGTAAAATAAAACCTCCCGAGGAGGACATTAGCCTGGCTCTACTTTTACCTTGTGACTACTCTTAAGTACTTGTAATCCCGGCTGACCGCTGTAATAACCTGTTAATTACCACTAACATTTTAGGTTGTAGTCTCTGGAACTGGAGGTTTTCTTTTCATTTCCATTTCAGATGGAATGCCCTGAACTTTCCTGATGTTTTGACTTGTGCAAAAGTGTAAATACTCAGTACTTCACGTGTTATCTGTGTTCTAAATGATATGCGCGTTTCTGTGCTCGTTTATGGAGTTGTACAATGCACGCGAAGGCAGACACAGTAATAACAGTCCATGTAGCTCCATAGAAAACAAACACTCTGCCCTGAGCCATAATTATCCCAGCTTGTCCGGTTTTCCACCACTAAACCACCTACGTACCACCATTGTTGCTGCCTGCTCCGTTTGCATAATTCCCCCTTTTTGGTTGGCTGGACTGTGTCCTGCACGGGTCACTAGCTAGCCCCATGCATAATACCATTGAGCATCAGCCGACTGTATAGTCCCATGGCAGCCATTTTGTGCCAAAGCACCTCCATTCACAGGCCCAGCCATGGATACAGTGGAAAATGTGCCATCATTATTGTCTACATTTGTTTATGTTTGTGCTGCTCTGTGCTGGGAGAGCAGAATCTTTTCTTTTGAGAGTTGAGGAGTGCCGAGGCCAGGCGGATCCACCCAGACTGGTACAGAGGATCACCTAGAGCCACTGGAGATCCCTTCCATGCTCATGTGTGTTTCAACTCCTTTCCTTATTATTAAGCAGATTAATAGTAATTGTTTAGACTCATGCCAACTTTTAAAAGCTGACGTTTTCCACTTCCTGTAAATTTGACAATATCTTTATTAGCTGTGTGTACTGGCAAGATTCTGGCGATACGGTGTTTATCACAAGCCAGGGGAAGCGATACGATACTAAGAGCCAGACCATAATTGCAACTTTTAAGACCGAAGTATGAATTGGGAAATTCAGGCCAGACACGACCGGTTATCACATTCCGTCAGAATGAAGGCAGTAAAATAAAATGGCTGCCACCTAGCAGTCGGAGTTGGAATTGTGCAACATTAAATGTTTGCGAGTTCTCAATAAAAGTTCGACACACTGCTTTTAGTATCATATCATAACATGAAATAGCGCCTTGGCGTGTCAAGTGTTAACCAGATAATGGGGTAAAACGGCTTCTTAGCCACAGAGACCGCGACAGCGCTGTAACGCTTTAGTTGCATATTTCAGTTGTGAAACAGGGAAATATTGTAGATCAGCTTGAGAGTTTTGTCCTTTAATGTTCAAACGTTCAGAAATGTTAACACGTCGGTCTTTTCCTATGACATCATGCAGTTTATGACTCAAATCAGTAAAATCCACATTAACGTATGTGCACATAACTAAAAAAACATTTAAATGCAAGTGAACAAACCTAATTTCTACATATGGAGTTTATGTTTTGAGTGTAACGTCTCTATTTTGCAGAATCAGTCATTTGAAACAAGCAGATACTTAACACATTCGTGCCCATATTCAAAACACATTTCTTATATTTTATATCTTAGGTGTGTTCTTGCTGTGTCGCGTTTCCAGTTCCATGCTGTAGTTCTTTTTTAAAACACAGAGCAGATTTGTTTACCTGTTTTCCCGCTACGTTTCGTCTGCGGCTGCAAACATCCTCAGGCTGACGCTGATGGTGGCGCCACTTCCTTCTCCGTTTATCCGCGGGCAGCAGAGGACGTTGTCGCCCTCTGCTGCCCGCTCTCCCCTCTCCGACGGTGCAGTCCCATGCACGGTCCAACGTGTAAACCCCGTCGTCCCTGTTCATGGTCCCACATCCACGTCTCCTTATCTCGATTGCTTCTTTTATCCATCTTTTGTATTTATATTTTATATATTTAGACACAAATGGTGGATCTGCACTCAAGCATTCCTTTGCATGTCCTAACCAAAGCTAGGTAACATTAGATAAACCCATCTCAATCATGCACAGTGCATTCACAAGCTTAAACATACTGATGATGTTTTATGAGCCAAGCAGCATCAGACATTTCTGTAATAAGCAGCTCGTCCCTGTTGCGTGCACGGCAAGTTCAAAGCAAGACAAACTCAATTCAAGCCAAGTAATTAAAATCCAGTGCACATGCCATGAGCTGCTTCTTTTAGGCCAGCTTGCATAGAGGTGTGTCTAAAACGCTGAATTCCCACAGGAGACCTCAGCAGGACTTTATTTCCTGGTAGGATGATAAATGTCTGTGCTGTGACGTTTGCCTGCCGTTTGTAATGCAGACTGTCAGTTAGGAATGTGTGATCTCCACGCAGAGACCACTCCGGCAGTCATTTTCTGCTACGTTTAGAAATTCACTTTTAGAGAAAGAGAACACGTTTTGCAAATATTTGTACTGATTCGCTTGAGCTCATAAGGACAAGCGAGTCCGTATGTTTTAAAACATTTGTGTCTCTGGAGCGAGTTTGACTCACAGCTGCAAGATGCTGTCACATGCGGTGCTTTTTATTGTTCGTGACAGCAAATTAAAGGTTGATTGTTTTGTATTTCCCAGGCATCTGTTCTCCGTTAGCTGTGGGTTGTAGTCTGTTTCCACTTCCATTAGTCGGCTTCATTGTTCTGAGTCAAGACAAATCAATCGAAAGCCGATTTTATTTTCTATCTTGATCTAATTTGTTTGTACGTTGTCCTTTTGAGTTTAAGGTTCATGCAGCAGCAGTCCGATTCACTTGGGATGGTGTCAGCTAACCCTAACCCTAGTCTCGTAAGGCTTTGATGCGGCGCTGTTTTCAGGAACTCAAAGTGATTTAGTAAAGGAAAACTCAGCTGGAGTGCGAGGGGGAAATAGAGTCCACCATCTTTGACCTTGTGTGTTTTATGGGAGGGGAAATGGAGTGTGACAGTGTCCGCGTCAGCGTGGAAGGACGAAGCAAAGCTGATGTGTGTGTGTGAACTGGGTGGTGTGAGTATGCTGTGACATTGCCATTGATCCAGCTTAGCAAGCTGCTCAGTGATGCAAGGGACTGACAAGGATTTCATTCAACTGTTCTTGACACACAAACACACAACTTTGTTCTTGTTTGTGTGCGAGTACACAAACGCCGTTTCCACTTCCCTGCTCAGTTTGCATCTTTAACTTCTACAAGTAATTTAAGTCTGTAATATGAATAAATATTGATGTTTTATTTTAGGCAGCAGAGCGCTTAAAGGTGGGGTAGGAGATGTTTTCTGCTCTGTTATGTTAGGAATGATGGCAGAAAAGGTGCCAAGAACGGGTCGAAAGGTAAGATAGGGTTATGTTTTTATAGTTTTGACAGTATAAGTTGTGTCTTAGCCTGAAGACCTTCCTATATATGTAAATATGTAGCCTGGCCACAACAACCCGTAGAGCCTCAGTCGCGAGGCAGAATCTACAGTTGTCTGTCATATGACAACACCGACATTCACACCCAGAACTCAGTTCTTCTAGACACGAAGGTTCTGATAACCTCACATTTACACATCAGTGTTGGGAGTAATGCCATTTAAAATAACGGCGTTCTTTTATAGGTAACGGAATAATCTAATGAATTACTTTTCCCACTGTTGCAACGCCGTTACCGTTACTGGGGACGGAAGGTTGTGCGTTACTGTGTGCCTGTCGAACGTTGAGCAGCAGTGTGAGGCTTTCTGACCGCCACACTTCAGCTGCAGCCAGGGAGAGAGAGGTGTCGGTAACGCGCTCACAAACACGATGATGATTGGCCGGGTGGGCGGAGACCCTCACTGTCTCAGTCGCTGCCTGCTGTAGACACAACAGAGCAGTGATGGGAATAACGCCATTTAAAATAACCACGTTAATAAAACAATATATTTTTCAGTAACGAGCAAACTAATTAATTACCGTCTTCTTTTAACAAAACGTCGTTTCTGTTACTGATAAGGAAAAGCGTGCGTTAAGCAGCGTGGTGTGTTGAAGCTGTCATCAGCTGATCAGGAGCTAAAGAGGCAGATGTTTTCATCCAAGCGCATCACGGCCCGTGAAGAACGAGGAAGACGTGATGAATATCTACGGCTGCAGGTGTGGATCTGCAGCCGTGCCCTTCTTAGCGTGACAGCGGGACGTCCTGAAGGTCCGCTCACCTGTTCACCGCTCAGACGTCCTGATCTTCTACCTTCCTAGATCATCCAGCTGTAACCTGTTTCTGATCATGTCTTCAGTCCCGCTGTAACACTGATGCATCAGTCTCAGACGTCATGGAGCTCAGGTGTTATCAGAACTACCTGTGTGTGTTCACCACCCAGCTTCAGCTCTTCTGTGGTTGGGTCTGACCCAAGTTAGTAAATGTAAGTCCTCGATCAGGATTGTGCCTCTTCTAGTGTCATTTTAAAGGATTTTATTTATTTATTTAACTGTTACTAGATTAGCAGCAACAGAAATGCTGCTACTAACACACAATTATGTGAAGCTGTAAAAATTAAAATATTGTGCAAAATTGCGTTCATTTCTGTAATTTAACTAGACTGAGAGACTATTCAAAGGCTCGGGAACCTTTACAGGTGGTTCTATTTGCAATTTTAAATTTTGACTGATTGGGGTCTTGTTAAATATCACACAGTGACCTTTTAATAGTCTAGATTAGTGTAATGTTCCTGTTAGTAGTTCCTCCTGTTAAGTGCTTATTTATTTAAATTATTCAGGTATATAAAAAAATTTAGACATACATTTTATTATGTTCCAGTCATTTATATTTCACTGTTGTAGTCATTTATAGTAAATTAAGTTAGTTTAATTAAGAGGGGAACCCATTTTTCTTGCTTTCTTTAATGAAAAAAGTAACTAAGTAGTTATTTTTCTTGGTAATTAGTTACTTTTATAATCTTGTAACTCAGTTAGTAACTGACAAAGTAGTAACTATAACTAATAACTTTTTGAAAGTAACATTCCCGACACTGCTCACCA